GCTTCGTTTGGGTTTTGTCATCTTCAGATTTGGGAAACAAGGTATTTCTCCTGTGGATGTCATGTGTTGCCTATTTACTGAGAAACCAAAAACACTGGTGGTTTTGAGCGAGGTTTGGAAACAATAGAAATCTCTGCAACAATTGCAATAGTGGTGTGGCTGCTCTACCACTTGGGTCACATTCAGTGGTGCTTGAGGTGGCAGTGGCAGATTGGAGTGTTTGACAGGTCCCTATAGTTAAGTCACAGCACAGACATGGAGGATTTGGAGGAAAGCTGTAGTCTCCTTTTGAGAAAGAGGTCTTGGTCTGCTCCTAGCCTTAGTTCAGACTGAACATTTATCCCCAGGTAATCAGGTTGCAGTGGGACCAGGGCTGCCCATCAAGTGTGGATGTTATCTGGTGCACCAAGCCATAAAGTTGGACATGCACAGCGACACTCCTTCATCAGATGGCAGTGGTATGTGCACAATTAGGCCCAAGCAGGCCCTGAAGGCAGGAGTGGTTCACCCTAGGGGGCCGCCCAAATGCCCATGGCCCCCACCACTGACCTCTCTCAGCCAGCCTCCTCTTATGGCCTCACTGGGAGTTCTCTACAGTCTACTGACAGAGAAAGATGAGACTCAGGCCTGGTGTCAGGTGGTTCTGTACCTGTCAGGTGGGCAGGGTTCAGGTGAAAGTGGCCAGCTGCAGCCCTACGGTCCTGTCTGGGACATCTCTAAAAGACAGCGGAGAAGAGAGATTCTCCCCAGGGGCAGAACTTCTAGTTATACACCTGGTGATTCCCTTTGCTGGGAAGGAGGTAGCGCCAAACACGTTATTATATTCTAATTCACCATCTGTGTCCCATGGTTTGGCAGGATGACCAAAGACTTGGAAGGACCATGACTGGAAAGTAGTTCCAAGGAAATTGTTGAGGATAGGATGTGAAAAAAACCTTTCTGAATGGGCAGAAAGTGTGAAGATACTTGTGTCCTGTGTGAATGGTCACCAAAGAGTGAGCTCAGCAGAGGAGGATTTTAATAATCAAGTGGGTAGAATCACCTATTCTGTGCATAGCAATCAGCCTCTTTCCACAGCCACCTCTCCCACGGCTTGATGGGCTCATGGAAAAAGTGGCCGGGGGGCAGGGATGGAGGTTGTGCATGGGCTCACCAACAGAGACTTCCATTCACAAAGGTAACGTGGCAGTGGCCACTGTTGAGTGCTCCGTCTGCCCGCAGCAAAGACCAACACTGCATCCCTGCTGTGACACCACTCTCCAGGGCCATCAGCCAGCTCCTAGTGGCAGGTGGATTACCTTGGACCATATCCATCATGGAGGGGGAAGCCTTTTGTTCTTCCTGAAATGGACAGTCTGGGTACAGATTTGCCTTCCCTACATATAATGCTCTTGCCAGAATTACCATCCATTTGCTACAAAATGTTTTGTCCAGGATTATGGCATCCTATACAGCATTGCTATGTTCAGGGGCCTCACTTCACAGCCAGGGAAGTACAACCATTGTCCCATGCTCATGGAATGCACTGGTTTTATCATGTTCCCTCGCATCCCTAACAGCTGACTTGATAGAATGGTGGAATGGCCTTTTGAAGACTCGGTTACAATGCCAGCTTGGTGGCAAGATCTCGCAGGACTGAGGCAAGGTTCCCTAGGAGGCTGATGTGGACTGAATCCGCACTCAATATGGTGCTATTTCTCTGATAGCCAGAATTCAAAGGTTTAAGCATTAAGGGGTGGAAGTGGGAGTGTCCCCACCCCCATTACACCCAGTAATCCACTAGTGATATTTATGCTTCCTGTTCTTACCACCTTCATCATAGCAACACCTGGTACTCAGGTCTTCCCAGCTGGAGTGAACTACCCTTGGGTTTCTTTTGTGTCTCCAGCTTGTTGACTTGTTGATGCAGATCTTGGGACTTCTCAGCCTTCACAAGCATGTGAACCAATTCCTTATCATAAATCTCATTCTCTCTATATACAACTTGTTGGTTATGTTTCTCTGGAGAACCCTAAAAAAGGCTGCCTGAAGTCTATCCATGAACCCAAGGAATAAATGGGCATCAGTTTAAGAAGTCCTGCTCTAAAGACTTTTAACGTTCAGGATTCATCTATCAGACATATGATACACAGGACAAATCCGGTCTCAAATCTTCAGTGGCTCTAACCTTGTTCATCTGCGCAGCCTTCAGCAGCTTTCCATTTTTACTCTCTTGCCTCATTTTGTAGACTGCACTCCTGCCCCAGGGCAAACATTTGGAATCAGAAACACATGACCTCACAAATGCTTTCAACAGGAACAGACAGATGCTTCTGATGTTATAAACCTGCAGGAGAAATGGATCTAGGGACTATGCCATCATTCTAGCCCCTTGGTGTCTTATTCACCCAGCTGACTGTCCCCAGGCCCTCTCATTCACTGTAGGCTCCATTAACAGTATTAGGGAAGGAGACTGAGCCTGTGTGTCAGGCACCTGGTGGTGACACAGTCTTCATGTGACTCTTGTTGCTGCCTGTAGAGGTAGAGTTATTGTTAACAATCTGATTCCTGGATACATCACTAGGGGTTTAATAATAGGTAGCCAATTATATATTTGTGTTCAGAAAAAAATTAAGGTTGGGATATTGGGAGGAATGATGTCAGTTAATATTTTCTTGAGAGTGTTTAAGAACTGGTCCTCATTAAAGCTGTATATATAGTAAAAGAGAGGTAGAGCAGAAAAGGGGGAAAGCTTGCTTTCTATTTACCTAGACTGGTGTGTACACAGCTACTCTTGGAAAAAACTGATTCCATTTTTATTACCCACCAGAGATTAGTACAGACAATACTAAACTATTTCTTAATATTAAAGACAAAAGCAAATATTGTTGTAATAAATTGACTTCTGACGTAGAGAACTCCCCATAACAATTTGAATCTGTAAGTTTTCAACTAATGCATCCAGTGGGGCTAAAATGGGTGTGTAGGTGGAGGGAACTCTCATACAATGAGCGAGTATAAGTTGACTTAGCTTTTTTGTAGGGTATTTGAAAATATCTATAGAGGTGCCTGGATGGCTCAGTTGTTTAAGCATGTAACTCTTGGGCAGCCCAGTTGGCTCAGTGGTTTAGTGCTGCCTTCAGCCCAGGGCCAGATCCTGGAGACCCGGGATCAAGTCCCACATGGGACTCCCTGCATGGAGGCTGCTTCTCCCTCTGCCTGTGTCTCTGCCTCTCTCTCTCTGTCTCTCATGAATAAATAAAATCTTAAAAAAAAAAGAAGCATGTAACTCTTGACTTTGGCTTATGTCGTGATCTCATGGATCATGGGATAGAGCCCCAGGTAGGGTTCCACACTCAGCGGGGAGTCTGCTTGAAATTCTCTCTCTCCTTCTCTCTCTGCCCTACACTGCTCACTCTCTCTCTCTCTCTCTCTCTCTCTCTCAAAACAAATTTTTAAAAAAATTTTAAAGGAAATCTCTATAGAAGTTTTAATGGCCATACTAATGGATGTAGTAAGTTTCCAGAGAATCTAAAGAAATATCCACACAAATGTACAGAAATGTTTGTACAATACTTTTAATAGGAAAAAAAACCCACAATCTGAAGACAGGCCAAATATCCTCCAGTAGATATGCCCCTGTGGTAGAATTTCAGACAGTGGGCAGCCCGGGTGGCTCAGCGGTTTAGCGCCGCCTTCAGCCTGGGGCGTGATCCTGGAGTCCCGGGATCTAGTCCCATGTTGGGCTCCCTGCATGGAGCCTGCTTCTCCCTTTGAAAAAAAAGAAAAAAGTGGCATACAAAATTTCATCTGATATACATAAAAGAGAAATCATGCAATTAAATTTCTTCTTTACGCAATGAATTACATAGGAAGAAGGTTGAGACATTGTAGACGGTATTTTTATTTTCCAGTAATTTCTCTGTTACTCTAAATAAAGTCTTATCCAGAGTCACTTCAATTACCTTTTACTTCTACCCTGTCAAGTAGAGAATAGTCATCTCCAGTTCTCAGGTTAACCAATCCTTTTTCTTGGGCTTTTTTTTTTAAGATTTTATTTGTTTATTGATGAAAGACACAGAGAGAGACAGAGAGAGAGGCAGAGACACAGGCAGAGGGAGAAGCAGGCTCCATGCAGGGAGCCCGACGTGGGACTCCATCCTGGGTCTCCAGGATCACGCCCTAGGCCAAAGGCAGACACCAAACTGCTGAGCCACCCAGGGATTCCCCTTTCTTGGGCTTTTAAAAAATTTTTTTAAAGATTTTATTTATTTATTCATGGGAGACACAGAGACAGAGGCAGAGACATAGGCAGAGGGAGAAGCAGGCTCCCAGTGGGATCATGACCTGAGCCAAAGGCAGACCCTCAACCACTGAGCCACCCAGGTGCCCCTTTCATTGGACTTTGAAAGAAAACCCAGAAGAGAAACATCTGTCCACCCAACCCTACAGAGACTTCCATGTGTGGATTTAGAACTCAGGTCTCAGCCATGCGTAAATGCTGATTTAGTCTGTTCCAGCTGCTACAACAGCATAACATTGATGGGGTCTTGTACATAACAAAAAATTATTTCTCAGAGTTCTGGAGGCTGGAAGCCCAAGATCAAGGCACCAGCAAATTTCAGTGTCTGATGAGGGTCCATTTCCTGCTTCATAGATGGCCATCTCTTCGCTGTGTCCTCACATGGCAGAGATGGTAAAGGAGCTCCCTGGGGTCTCATTTTAAGGGCAATAGTCTCACCCTGTGGGCTCCAATCGTCCACAAACACCCCAGCTCCTAATACCATCACCTTGGAAGTTAGGATTTTAACACATGAATTGATGGGGGACATGAACCTTTCTTTAGTCTACAGCAAACAGCCCATGGTTCTCTGCTCTGTGTTCATCCCAAAACTCATCAGCCACCACCATGTTTAGATTAATTTGCATTTGTGGGGAACTTTCCCAGAGCCAATGCCAATGCTTTGTGTGCATTAGCAGTGCTTACCCCTCAGAACAAGTTTCTCCCTCCTGTTTCACAGAATAAGAAAACTGGAACCAGGAAAAGCAAGTGGAGTCCAAGGTCCTTACCCGGGAAGGGGCAATCTGCCCGAATCTACACTCTCCTCTCGCCGGGCCTCTCTCACCTGCCTGGAGAAACTGCTTCAGCGGATCTCGCGGTGACCTCTGGGCCCTGTGTCCTGTCAGCCCTGCCCACTGCACGTGCCAGCCAGCGAGCCCGGGTCTCCCAGAGAGCAAGGTCACCACTCACAGCCAGTACGGATCCCAGGCGCGCCCCATGTAGTCCTTTTACCAAATGACCTTGTCATATTTTGTAGTGTAGCAATTTCTCATAAAAGGAAACATTCAATTACCCTACGATCCAGCAATGACAGTTTTTGTTCCTTTTCAACAACCCACCCCCACCCCTGCTGAGAGTGTTTCAGGTGTCCCCGACCAAATCTGTCTCCAGGACTGAGCCTGAGACCTGCTCCTCCATCTACATTCCCAGAGATGATTTAAAACGAGCCCCTGCCACAGGCCCATTAGAGCCAATGGAACGATCCCAATACTGTCTGTGCTATTCAACAGCGTCCTCAGTCTTTTCTGAGGATAGCATCTTTAGAAATAGATTGGTCTGTAATTGCCAAGAGTGAATATGAGAAGTCTGAGGGCGAAGCCATCAGCCAGAAACTAGAGGGCATGGGGGAAGGAATGCACACGGGGTTGGCGACACTGCTCACGGCCATGTGCCCCACATCTACATCCAATGGAAGCTTCTGATGGAATCCAGCTGTGCTTCAAGCAAAACTACCCTGTTTCACATGCAGGACAGTAAACTATTTAAAGCACATTGAGTTAGATTTCTGTCACTTGAGCCTGCAAGACTTATATCTAATAGAGAAACCAGTACTTGGAAATAGGATATTATAAATAAAAGTCTATAAATTGTGGCATTGGCAGGGCTGTGAGAGGGTAGATGCAGTTGAGGGCATCTCTCTCCTTACTGAGCAAGCACAGAAGTTGGAAACGTCTGCTACGAGGAGGTTGACCCGGCGCCTATTGTAGCTGGCCATATAGACCATACCTAACCAGGCTGGAATAGTAGGAAACTTGGCAACAAAACTTCAGAGTGTAGGATGTGGTGGCTCCTCCTTGCCTCCTGCACTAAGCTCCAGCAAGAAACGCGCTTCTCTTACAGAGAAATTACTCTTCATGCCAGCCCATCTGCAAACAGAGGGAAGAAAATCAAACCTTGTTAAGAGATACCCTTTCTATGCACCCTTTCTGATAATTGAAGATGTTGCGGATTCTGTCCATCCTTTTACCTGTAGGGTGAGAAGCACTAAATTCTGTGCCACAGGCTACTGTTGGAATTGGAGCTGAAGGTGGAACAGAAGGTAAGCTAGTGAGAGGAATCAACAGCTTTTCCTTTCAAGCTTCCTGTTTTCTTTGGAAGATTCTTTACCTTTAGACCCCTTACCCATTTCCCAACCACACAGTTCCTGTGTCTGGCAACTACCGATCTTCTACCTGTATCTATAAGCTTAGTTTGTTTTTGTGTTTGTTTGCTTGATTTTTGTTTTTGTGTTCTGTTTTGATTCCACGTATAGGAGAGATCGTATGGTACTTACCTTTCTCTGTCTAGTTTTACTTGGGATAATGACCTCAAGGTCCATCCATAGTCAGAAATGGCAAAATTCCATTCTTTTTTATGGCTGAGTAATATTCCATTGCATATATAGATGCCACATCTTTATGGATTCATTCATTGAGCAACACTTAGGTTATTTCTATATCTTGGCTTGTTGAAGTAATACTGCAATGAATATATGGTGCATGTATCTTTTCGAGTCAGTGTTTCTAATTTATTTGAATAAACAACCAGAAATGGGGTGTCTGAATGTTATGGTAGTTCTATTTTTAACTTTGGGGGGAACCTCGGTACTATTTTTCATAGTGGCTGCACCAGTGTGCATTCCCACCAACAGTGCACAAGGGCATTCTTCCCTCCACATCCTTGCCATGCTTTTTATTTCTTGTCTTTTTGATAATAGCCATTCTAACAAGTATGAAGTCACATCTTACTGTGATTTTTATTGCTTTTCCTGGTGATTAATGATGATGAGCATCTTTTCTTGTGCTTGTCGGCCATCTGTCTTTTTTTGGAAAAATGTCTACTCAGGTATTCTGACCTTTTTAAGATCTTTTTTAAATATTTGGTATTGAATTCTGTGAGTTCTTTAGTGTTTTAGATTTTAAACCCTTATCAGATGCATGATTAGCAAATATTTTCTCCCATTCAGGTTTCCTTTTCATTTTGTTAATGGGTTTGGTTTTTTTTTTGTTGTTGTTGTTGTTGTTGTTTTTTTTTTGTTTTGTTTTTTTTTTGTTTTTTTTTTTTTGGTGTGCAGAAGCTTTTCAGTTTGGTGAACTCCACTTATTTGTTTTTGCTTTTCTTGCTTTTCCTTTTGGTGTCAGATTCCTCAACCCTTTGTTCATTTCCCAGAGTTAGGAGTCTCTCATGGTTTGTCACCCTCACTGATTTTCCCACTCAGTTCCCCTCCTTTCCTTTATAATCCCTTTCACCATTTCTCATATTCCACATATGAGTGAAACCATATGATGATGGTCCTTCTCCGATTGACTTATTTCACTCAGCAGAATACCCTCCAGTTCCATCCACATCAAAGCATCATGGGTATTCATCCCTTCTGGTGGCCGAGTAATATTCCATTGTATATATAGCCCACATCTTCTTTATCCATTCATCTGTTGAAGGACATCGAGGCTCCTTCCACAGTTTGGCTATTGTGGACATTGCAACAAGCATTTTCTGTACTAAATAATTTAAAACATTCTCTGCACTTGCTTGAACATTAATTTATTCATAAAATTCTATTTTTAAAAAACATTATTTATTTATTTATTCATGAGACACACCGAGAGGGAGGCAGAGACATAGGCAGAGGGAGAAACAAGCTCCATGCCAGGAGCCCAATGTGGAACTCGATCCCAGGACTCTAGGATCTCTGGGCCAAAGGCAGATGCTCAACCACTGAGCCACCCAGGCATCCTATAAAATTCTGTCTTCATATATAGCATAGAAGGAAAATCCACCTTTCTTGGATGAATTATCACAGCTTATTAGTTAGAAAAAGAAACAGAAAAACATGTAAACATAAATGTGAATATTCCAGCTCCATTTACTCATTTATAATGTGACCAAAATGAGAGCAACTTTATGCATGGATGTACTCTGCAAATTTGAAGAAATGTCAAAATCTAAAGCAATTAGAAGTCATCATATGGCTCTGCTGCCCATATTTTTAGTGCAGCACGTGACCTTACTCATTAATCAAGCACCCGCTGACCCAGTCATTGAGATAATGGGTTCAATGGTGTAGTAGACATGAACATAACTTTGAGGAGCTCAGCCTGGCAAGATTACCAAAACATTATAAAACACTGTAACAGACACTCTGAGAACTTGAAGGTCCAGATGCTATGGAAACAGAGGAAATCCATTTACTGGCTTTTCACAGGGAACTAGAGGGAAGAGCAAGATTTCACCAGATATTTAAAGGGGTGAAATGGGAAAGAAGGTGGCAAGCACTGCTTGGTAGAGGCACTGAGCACAGGAGAGCTCCTCGGAGCAACAGCAGGTCATCAGAATGGCATGCCTAGAGTGTACTGTTCATTGCAGGGAGTAAGACATGAACCTGGAAATGCCATTCAGCACCAGCAGTGAGAATACCGAGACACAAAGATTCTGATGATGGTGATGGTCCTCCTTCAGAATGGGATAAAAGGGCAAGGAGCCCAATGCTAACACTGTGAAAGACTAAGCAGCTCAATAGTCATGGACAATTAATTAGAAAGCAGTTGCTATGGCTTTACACCATGCAAAATAAAACATTTCCTGCCTATACTGCATAGAGGTTGGAGGGACATTGCCTGCTAGAGTGACGTCACAGGTGGTCACTATGAACATCTCTTCTACTTTCTGTTAAATGGCCTGGAAATGATTATTTTTTCTTCTATTGGTGGATCATTCTGGTGCTACCCAGAAGATGTGAAATATTTGGAAACTAAAGAATGTAACATAAAATTTAAAAGTGTGAATTTTTAAAGGACTCCTAGTCTCCATAATTTGGAGTACTGAACCAGATGACTATCCTAAGAAGTGGTTGACTACAGTAGTAAATTTTTAAAAGAAAGATTTCCCCGAGATGCATAAACATATTGTAAATCCTTGAAAGCAAGCACTATTGCAGAGGTTTTATTTTCTATGGAATGACCTGGAGCATATAGCTTAGGAGAGATAAGGTCCCTCACAGGAGAGCAGAGAAACTGGTTTTCCAAACAGAAAAGTCAAATACAAAAGAAAAAGCAGCTTTTCCCCTGAAGGAAAGTGGGTTCCTGCATCTCGCCCTCTTCTCCTTCCCAGCAGGTGCAGACAGCTTAGCCTCCTGAGACATACCCTAATGCTCTGCTTTAGAAACGCAGACTAAAGAACTGGGGGAAATTTTTATTGGGTTTCAAATAAAATGTGAAATCAGTAACTAATGGTTCTCCGTGGCTTTAATGACAGAATGGTATTTAAATCCCGCGTCAGCTGAGTGCTTTAGAGTAATTTACAGAAGAAGGTAAGGCTCTGCTGGGCGATGGGCGATGGGCGATGGGCGACTGGGTTTCCTCGCAGCTCATCCCGCGTTCGGGCTGCTCCGTTGGCTCCTTGGGATGAAGCCAGGCTGCAGGCGCTGCTGACCCAGAGAAGCGGAGGTGAGGCTTTCCCTTCGCAGCTGCTCTTCAGAGGGAGCCCCGCTGTCACCTCTTCTTTCTTTTTTTTTTTTTTTTTTTTTGGTAATAGTTTTCATTTATTGAGGGTACTGTTTGCAGGAGAAACTAGCTAAGTTACACACATATATTTTCCAAATTATTTCATATAACAACATCTGGAGTTGTGTATTATTAAATCCCACATTTTACAGAAAAAGAAACTGAAAATTCAAGAGGTTAACTAGCTTTACCAGAATTATAAATTAGTTAATGGCCAAGAGGTGTTCACACAAAGCTTGGTTAGTTGCCAGAAACTATAACTTACAGCAAGAACGACCATATACCCCACGTATTAGGTCATATGTACCTAAAAATAACAATTTTGCTTACACTTAAGCAACACTAGCTACAATTTTATTTTTAAAGCAGTTCATAAACTAAATTGTTCCTTTTCTTCTTTCTTTCTTCCTTCCTTCTTTCTTTCTTTTCTTTCTTTCTTTCTTTCTTTCTTTCTTTCTTTCTTTCTTTCTTTCTTTCTTTCTTTCTTTCTTTCACCTCTTCTTTCCACCACATCAACAAACACAGGTAGTAGTCTTACATGGGGCACGGCTCTAGGGCCAATAGAAAGATTCTTGACTACTTTCCACAGAAACTTTGTTTGTTTTTCAGAAAAAAAAGTCAGGAATCTGCTCAATATCCTGACACAACCACTTTTTAACAATGTAACTTTTTTTTCAGCTTCATCTTCACAATTTTATGCTAACAGTTTTTATTGAGTTGGTATTATTTGCGTAGAGTAAAACTAACAGAGTTAAGTGTATAGGTTAAGTTTTGATAGATGTATACATCCATGGACCTATCTATTTTCCACATAAAGATATAAAAAAAATCCCCATCCTTCTAGAAAGTTCTCTTGTGCCCCCTTTCCAGTCAAGACTTCCCCTACAAATAACCACTGTTCTGACACTTATCACTATAGTTTAATTTTGCCTGTTTTTTTA